ATATGTATATGTATATATGTGTGTGTGTGTGTGTGTGTGTGTGTGTGTGTGTGTGTGTGTGTGTGTGTGTGTATATATACTATTTTGTTTTCAAAAAAATTTGTATTAAAAAATATTAGTCATATATATTTTCGTATTAGCTGCAAATATCCTTATAAAAAACTTGATATTCCTTTACAGATTGGTATGAGTGAATACCAAAATAATTCAAGGTGGGATTTCAAGTTTATAAATTCAACAAACGATACCCTTTCGAGTATTACTTACAACTTCTTACTAACGCGCCATCATGGCATATATCACTCATCCTTTATCGTACCAGCTATCGGTAAGCAATTGTTCGTAAAAATAATATAATATAGGAAATACCTAATAAATATGGTATATTTTTTTTAGCTTTGATATTGTTAACTATAACAGTGCTCTGCCTTGATGTAAAATCGACTGAACGAATGGCAGTAGCAAACGTGAATTTTATTTGCCATTTGCTCTGCATGTACATGATACAATGGACAGTACAATACAATGGTGTTAATCCCCCGAACATATGTGAGTAACAAAATGTTAAAGAATATGATCATAAAGAATATTTTTCCTAATTGTATAACTAATAATATTACATTAATTATATATAATTTAAATATATACAAATAATAAATTAAATATACATTATCTAATTAATTTTCTAATTATTAATTACAAGACGTATTATTGAATTAAAAATTATTACAGCCTTAAATATTATTATAATCTCAGTAATTGCTATAAGACAAGTATTAAATAAAATTAAGATTATGTCTAAAAATGTAAGAACATTCTAAGTAACAAAGCAATAAAGCAGTATTAAAATTGGATGTAAAAAAACATAGAAAACAGTTTTAATTAGATGTATAATAAATTATGTATCTTACATCCATTTTACAGTTATATTTTATCGTGAATCCTTGGCGTTGGCTACCTACACGGTAATTTTGACGGTCTTATTACGGAAATTGGAAGACATGAGCATAATGATACCAAATTGGATTTTATCCATTACAACGTTTACTTTGAGCAACAAGGTGGGACGTTTTCTGATTCTAAAAGATGATGAATCCAAGATAACAGGCAAAGATATAGCGACCGAAGAAAGCTCAGATATTCCAAAAGCTGAAGTGAGCATAAAAGAATCGTCTTGGAAATATTTTGCTGCTATTATTGACTGGTTATCTCTCTTCTGCGTGATTCTCACTTATCTCATTGTTTTAATTATTCTAATACCTACGAGTTAATCTATAATAAAGAACATTGACCGTATTGTTTTATTTAAGCTTATATGATACACAAAATATATTTTATTTTCATATTAAAATTTTATTTACAATTTTTTTTCTTTAATATTTGATAACTCCGTTTGTTAGTATAAAATCTCTTTTCTGTGAAAATACATGTGTTTTTCAGTTTCCAAAGTTGTTTTTTTTTTTTCATTTTTTGGTCATATTAAATATCTAAATCTCTGATATATATTATACCAAATTTAAATATAATAAAATATTATTGATTAAATAAAATAAAGTAAAAATATTATGGATTATGGTATGATGGGATGTTTTTTATTTAATAAATGCAATACATTATATATTATCAAATAATTCAAACAAGCTGCAATAATCTTCAATTATATAACAATATTTGAAGAAAGCAACATAACTTTACGATATGATATAAATAATAATATAAATAATGTGCTTGATATTAATAAATTATATTAATTGCACATTAAAATAAATATATATAAATTATCAAAATATACATAAATTGTTAAAATTGTCATTTTTCGTTATTTACAGAAATTATTTTATTAAAAAAATTGGTAAGATAGGTAATCTGATGTTCAACTTGATTCCAACGTTTGTCTATTTTATCTTGAATAGCAAAGGCTAGATGCCTATCTGTATTATTTATGACGTTAGATATCTAAAATAAATTATTTTTAATATCCATTGATAAATAATTTATTGTACAGCGAATAACATTCACAGTAATATTTTTCCATATTTAATATGATCCATATTTAATATGATTCCATATTTAATATGACTTAATTTTAAGTTCAAAACATTTCTTAAATAAAAAGATAGATATAAACTCAATTAAAAAGAATAATAAATGAATATATTTTTATAAATTCTATAATTTACCTTATAAAGTTGTTCCTTAGTATACACATGATTAATAATATACGATACCGCTGTAACTATAGTGACATTTCTATAAAAAAAATATTTATAATTAATACATATATAAATAATATTTCTATTATTATAAACATATTTTTATAAAATTATAAATATAATTACACTGGTTTTATTTTTTCAATACCCTCTTTTAATAAATAATCAAATATTTCATTGCGCTTTGCATTCCTTGCAATATTATAAAAGAAATAAATTTGGCTTTTAATATACTTTATTAGATTATATTCTGATTCTACTGTTTGCAAATATATTTCGATCAGATGAGAATTTTGACAGCAAGTCAAAGCTTTTAAAACCGCATAATCGGGTTCCGTCTCGAGATTTAATTTTCGAAATACTTTTGACCATAATAGAGTCTTTGCCGTAACTATACCATTACAATAAGTCCCTCTTTCCACCATGGTAGAAGTCTAAAATATTAAAAAAGGAAAATTAAAATCTGGTATAATTATTTAATATACAATCATACACATTAACAATCAATCTTTATAAAATAATTTATAAAACATAATATGAGATGCAAGAAAATATGACTTTTTTACAAATAAGACAAACCGTATTCGTAAAAATTTACTTGTTCGTTTCAGAATCTTCAAGATGCTGTTTCAATTTACTTTGGGCTGCATCGAGGCAATGAGTTACATCTAAAGTACACGCCCATCTTGCGGCCTCTTGTTTTAAATATTGAAGAAATTCATCATCCATTGTTACATTATGATTTTCATCATTATGTGTATTGGAATCATATCCGATGTTTAAAAGCAACGTATATAGTAGATGAGATATTTTTGTCTATAAATTATTATAAATTAAAAATATAAATAAAAATATAAATTTTATATTAGAAGAAACATTACAAAAACATTATAGTATTGGTTTCAAATATTTTCGTGTTGTATTTAAGGATACCTTTATTTTTACAACTTCGTTCCTATGTAATGGAAAGAAACTTGACATGTATTCAAGAGCTTTAAACATAGGATACTATGCAATGTAATCTGTTTCTTTCCATAAATAAGACGTGAGTTCCCAGAATATATTGGCACTGAGTTGACCTGCTTCCATAAGATGAAATGCATCATCGATTATTTGAGCACTATTCAAAACATGTATCATTGTATGATTCATTTGCAGAAAATCTGCTATACGTATCCAATTCGTAGTATCATAATTAACGCGATAATATCCTGTTGTTGAACAAAAGAGTTCTTTTGTTTGATTAAAAGAAGAAACTTTTTAAGAAATTATTAATTTTATAAAAGCTAGTAGATTTATAAAAATATATTTCTAAATATTTATAAAATTTATCTTAAACAGAAAAATTATAGCGTAAAATCACAATAATATTTTATCAAATTGTGTATTTATATAATGTGTAAGCAATAACATATCTTTCACATTTGTATAAAACAATATAAATAAAAGAATATTAATTCATAAACTATTTCAAAAATAAGCAATAGCACAATACATTTATTAATTTTTACCAGTTTGTTGAGAGTTAACTATTATCCAATCTTCCAGTTGCACTGTCAAATTTAACGTGTAATATGGATCATGTTCATTCTATGGTTCTTATCCATTTACCATACGTATCAAAATATTGGTTAAATCTTAGTCTACTCTGTGTTGCAATAGTCACAGGTATCCACCAGTCATCGTTAAGCTTAAATGTATGGAAATTTTCTATCAACATTATAATGTTACTATTATTATAATTTTGTTCAACTTTTAACACAGGATAACTATCTCTTTTCGTCCAAGTATCCATTATTGATTTTATAGAATAATTTTGTGTAAATGCTACAGTATCTATGATACTTTGCATATCGTTTCAGAAATCGTCGGAAGTTGCTGAGCCAAACCTACTTTTTATATTATTGATAAAATAAAATTTTATATTACTAATAGTAAATATCATGACAGATTACACTAAAATTATATAAAATTTTTATTTAACATTTACGTGTGTATGTAATTTAAAACATAATTTTAAATGTATTGTAACGTAATGATTTTTTAGTATAATGTATTTAATACAAATAAAAATATTATTCTATATTATATAACTTATAATTCATTAAAATTATAATTCAATTAGTATGATGGTCTTGATTAAGAAAGATACTTGGTTAAATGAATGTGTAAACTTGGTTGAATGAATGAGTAATATTTTAAAAACCTAATTATGTTTAAGTATTTTATAAAACAGTTAATTATTGTATTTTTTAAATCCACGATTCTTAATTATTACTTCAAAGTTACTTACTGTCTTTTTGAATACAATTTAGTAGCATTCCAAAACACTTCATCAGTAACAACATATCGTAATATTGCAGGCGCTACAGAAAAAAGAGAGAATTTATATTATAACACATGATTTATTAAATTAAAAATAAATTTATTTGAACATCTAGAAATTTTGGGATATTATATTTAGCTTGATAAAAAAATAAATTTAAAAATAAATTTTAATTTTATATATTTTATTTTTTGTCACAATAAAATTAAAAAAACCAATAAACTAACATCTATTTATTTTTAGCATTAAATATATTTTATTCCGAGTTTTTTGATATTTAGAAGTTTAATTGGATAATTGTTCGATCATATTTATATCATATCTTACCTTTATTGTAACGAAAGAAATATATGTGTGAATTAATTTCTGAAGAATTGTTAACACTTGATATGAGAGGATTCATAAGATTATCTCTATCTAAATGAAGAGATTCATGTAGAATTTGGACTACGAACAAATCTGACATCCGATAACTTGGTAAAACCTAGACAAATGTTTCCATAAGTTTAAATTTTCAATAAAAAAAGAACTGTCACTTATAACTTGTCACACATCATATATGCAATACTATTTCTTATTATTAAAAATTGTTTTGTTTATCATTAAGTATAAAAATAAAGTTAGTTTTAGTCTATAACGTATATAAAATCATAACAATTATTTTAAATTTAGGCTTAATAAACTTATTAAAAAACGAAAAAGACTGGTCAAGCAGCATTTAAGATTTAAACAGTACAGAGAAATTGTTATATTTCTATGATAACAACACTTTCATTTCTTTTTGTATGTAAAGTTAACGTTAAAGAGATCTCAGAGACAGCTCAGACAATACAAATTTCAAATTAAGATATAAAATATTTAGGCTCATATTTAATAAAGAAATAACCTTTTCAATAACATGAATTCCAAGTAGCATAGCAATACCATCATTCAACCAGAAGTGAGACCACCAAGACGGACTAACGTAATTACCAAAATAATGATGTATTATTTCACGTGCTATTAACCGTGCCATATTTATTTTTTTCATACTATGATCTAATTCCTGTTTATAAATATCTTCTTCCCTAAATAAATATGATGCGGTCAAATCCGATGCTATGTCAAGTTCTTGTTATAACTATTAAATGATATTATCGTTCTTATATAAATTATATTAAAAATATTAAATAATTTAGTATTAGAAATACTAAATTTTATCTTTAATAAGTACAATTAAAAGATTTAATACATTTAAATTAACGAGAGCTAAAAGATTAAATTTTTTAAATTTTAAATAAACTAAATATTAAGTATTAAATATAAATTATCCATTAAAATCAATCTAATTAGAAAATTAATTTATTTCAAATTTCCAAGAAAGATGATAGAATTTTGAAATAAATTTTTGAATAAATATTTTTCATATATATTTGGACATTGAAAATAAATTTATTTTTAATGAATTAATGTATTTTCAGATTAGATATATTACCTATAAAAAATAAGTTCCCAATTCGAAATACTATTGTCTTGAAAACCTGGGATTACAACAATATCCAACATTTTTGGAATTTCCTGCATATTTCTGTAGCCATTTGTTAAATTATTTATAATTATATCAGTTATTTCTTTTGCGATATGTACATACGGTTCCAAATCCCGTCTGTAGTACCAATGGCCGATCTTATATTTAATATGATTATTATAATTGGAATTCATTAATGAAATTGCTACAAGATAAGTGGGTATTGCAGGAGTAGTACGGAAAACCGACCATTTCATATCACCTTGTACAAAAAACGTTTCTGCCATCGTATTCGATATAACGATATAATTCTTATGACAGTTTATCGAAATATTAAAGGTAGTCCTTATTGCTGGTTCGTCCCAACATGGGAACGCTCGTCGAGCTTTAACTGCTTGGAAATCTGTTCCGATCGAATACCTATTACTGATGTATCAATACAGTATATATAATATATATATATATATATATATATATATATATATATATATATATATATATAATTAAATGTTGTTTTCTAAACGACATATTTAATAATAAAGTTATACATTTAAATATTATTTTATTAATTAAATATTAGCAAAAATTAATTTAATAATAAGAAGAAAAGCAATAAATAAAGTTTCTAGTATTGTATAACAATTTCCTGTAATATTGTAACATTTACTTACGTTGTTTTTTCATTCGTATTTATAGCTATCCTGAAAGAGTCACTTGCATCATTATATGCAATACCAAAAAAATGCATCATCAAACTATAATTTCCAGGTAATATATGAGGAGTGACATGTAAAGTAAGAATATCTGTTTTATCATCATATTTATACATTTCTACATAATAGTTTGTATTTGTATCAATATCGTCGTTAATTAATATGGAATGAAACACTTTTATATAAGGTTTTTGTGCGTGCAAACTTATAGTATTTGTTGGTTTTAAGATTGTAATTTTAACAGCAACTTCGCCATAGGAATTAAATACAATTGTATTGTCTCTATTAATATATGGCATAAATACGATATCATAATGTTGCGGTATTATGAAATCTGGTAAACGATAATTAAATGCACTGTCATAATCATTTTGTGTTTTCTTGATAACAAAAGCTGTCGCACCGACGAATATTAAACCATATTCAATATTTAATAATAATTTAATTAACGTCATTTTAATTTTTGTTTCAAATCTGCAAAAACATTTTTTTAAGATAAGAATTTAAAATAATATAACTTTAACTATAACTATAATTTGTAACGAAAACAGTATTGATAAAGAGTTTTATTTATGTTAATTATTTCTAAAATAATATGTTTTATTATAACTAAATATAAAATATTATAACATATTATTAACAATAAGTCAGAAACGTACCTGCGAAGTCAATTTTATTAAACGGCAGATCGTGAAAGAATAACAGCAAGAGCGAAAGTAGATGAGTTATACAAACAGCTAAGGTTAGTGCAAATGATAAATAAACTGTGATAATTTCATTTCTAAACGTCTCTTATTAAAATGATACAAAGTATCTAAAACCAATAAGTTTTCTTTTCTCATTATGCTGCGCTAAAAACAAATGATAATTAAATTAAAATATAAATTTTGAAATCTAAATAATATTTTTAAAAAAATTAATACCCTTTTTTTAATTTGAAACATAATTTATAACTAGAATTCTAATAATGGATTAAAGTTTTAAATTTTTAAATTATATAAATAAAAATAAAACAAAAACAGAGTAGAGTTTGCTAACTGAATATTAAAAAAATAAATACATTAACATATAACAAATAGAGTATATCTATTCTTCAGCTATTTTTGATTTTAATACATGTAAAACTTAATTTACAATTTAACCAATGAGATTTAACCAATGAAATTTAACTAATAATTATTATATAAATAATTAAATAGTAAAAAGTTTTGATAAATAACAATTTTATCTAGCATAATTTTCTGTTAATTATATATTGTTTAATTATTCTTCATTTATTGAATTTCAGTTTGCGATTAATTATATGCACTGTATAAAAAAGTTTATAAAAGATTTTATTTTTTATAAACTAAGAAAGGAATTAACAATGTTAAATTAAAAATTTATTACTATTTATAATACATTACATAATTACGATACAATTATGCATATATTATTGAAACATTGAGATATATTGCGGCAATGGAAATGTAAAAGGGATCATTGTTGAATCGCTAACATTTATTTCATCCCATTCGTCACGTCGTTCCATAGCTTTTTCTTCCCACAAGTTTTCGCGTACGGAAGGTATAACGCCTAGCCAAGCCTGAGTAATGTACTAAAGTTGAAATACGTGAAATTTTACATTAATTTCTAATATAAAGAGAATTATATTGTACCTGATGACAATGATTTGCCCACGCATAAATCATTCGGTTATCTACTTTTATAGATAATTTCTTTGTTTGTTGTAGCATTTTAATTGCGGTACTTTTTCGCGATTGTATCATATAATAGTAAGCTTTTATCAACATGTATCTGCAAACATTTTAGTTCATTGCAATAATTCTTTAAATAAATAGTAACGAATTGAAATATTAGTATTTTATCAATTTTAAAATTTGAAATAATATAACATTTAAACTTACTTTATAAAAAACATTTTAAAAATATGCTAAATTATTTCATATAAATTAATTTATAATATAATAAACTATATATAATGCTTATGCAGATCAAACTGAACAGAAAAATCTTCTATCTGCATACAAACGTTGTACACAAGTTGTCATTTCAGATATTTTATATTTATGTATAAATAAATATAATAAAGTTAGAAATAATAAATGTACCTGGGAATTGCAATTTTCACAATCTTTATTAAATTTTTCTCAACATGTCGGAATAACTGCTTAATTTCTGACATCGTATTCAACGCGTTTATGTTCCTGGTAGTAACTTCTCGCACTGTAAAATTGTAGCTTTATTTTGGTAATGATATGTTTTATAATGTTCAGATATTTATTCAATTTTTT